CAAGACCCTAGAGAAACCTCTGTACCTTCAGGCTGCCAATGCTGTGGTCATGCTGGACTGTGGCTTCAGGTCAGTCTGGTTCTGCTGTGTCTGCTGAGGATGGCAACATTTCCATCTCCCCACTTTTCCACACTCTGTTTAAATACCGCACATTTCCCAGATGGTTCCTTTGGTTTCAGGCAGTATCACATCTGAGTCGCACTTGGCTAATTCCTAGTCAAAAAATGGTGTGAGCCATCATGGTCACATCCCGACAGCCAGCAGCCCCTGCAAGACTGCCTGTATGGATTGTTGAATCTCTGAGACAGGTTTTGGAACTTAATAAAGAGCAGACCAAGAAGACATGAGGGTATCAGTGAACGATGTGTCCTTGGGACCCAGGGAAACAGAAGACAGCAATTGGGCTCCTACTTTTGTCTTCCTGGCTGAACCCTGGGTGTCAGACACTGCTTAGAAGTTGCCTGATGCCTTGGGTGTAGGATGCCACCTGTGCAGTTCTGTTTTAAAATGATGGGTCCCAGCATCTGTGTACATAATTTAAAATTAATTTACATTCCTATTTTGCTTGATATGATAAGCCTGTGCACTGGTATGATTAGAGAAAAGACAATGGGGAAAGGGTTGAGAGAGGCATTTCTTAGAATACTAAAATTCAACATTATTTGAATGAATTCTTCAAAATGTTGTTCAGCAATAGTGAATTGATAGGTGGTAGAATGGTGGACGAATGGATGAATTGGTGGATGGATGTAGAAAGGAGGGGGAGACAGATAGATGGAGGGGTGATTATTTATTTTGGATTGTAGGTGCTTTTACTTTGTCTGCACTCATCTGTCTTTTCTAAAATATTTTACTGCTAATGTAAGTGTGAAATGGGAACTGGCCTGCATAAGCCTGGAGGTAGACAGACCTGTGCCACCAGCTGCTTGCTAGTTGCTGTTCTTCATGATGTATTTCCACTTCTCTTCTTTCTGTTCACATGGGAGTTTGCATCTTCTTGAAGTCAGGCATAGCTCTGTAGTTTGCTCGCATTCTGAAATATGAGCAGAAGAGACAATTATCCTGTTGGGTGGGAGAGTGGAACTAACACACTGTAGAGGCTGGTGATGAGTCAGAAGCTGGTGGCTCCAGCTGCCTGAACCCCTGCTGATCATGGGGAACATGGTCTCATATTTTGACATTGACGGAATAATAATCCTTGAGTGTTTTGCAGCATGGAGTTTGGGGGCTTCTTCACTGTATCTTGATTGATTGCAGAAGATCTTGTAGGCTTCCAAGCTATGACAGGAGTTTCAGTTGGACTTTGTATACATGTTCATTTTGCCAATGCAGAGAGCAGACTTTGCCCAAATAAGCCCTGCACTTATCCTGTGTTAATTCTCCTACTTCTGACTAAAACAGTCCTGGGTTGTTTGGTGGTGATGGAATAGTCTCACCTCTTGAATGCGGTAAAGCCTAGGTGTCTATACATTTGATAAAATAAGGCAGAAATTTACACAAATGTATTCCAAATTAAAAACAAAAACAAATGCACCCAACACTGAGGGAAGTAGCACCTGCAGTCTCATATACTGTATTGTCCTGCGTCAAAATTTTGGTTTTGGATAGGAGACCCAATAGTAAGATGTCACCACTGGCAGAAGCTGGGAGACTGATATATGGACACTCTTGGCCCTATTTTTGTCATTCCTTGTCTCTATAATGAATGTTAAGTAAATGTTCATGAGTTAAGCCAAGAGGGTAAATTGCAGTCAGTTCCAAACTCACTAACCTGCCTTGGCGAGGGAAGCCCACACTGGCAGGCCCAGCCTCTTGCCCTCACCTTGCAATGACCAGTTCACGCCACCATAAATGGCTTCCAGCTGTAGTCCTTCCACTATGGCACACCCCATGTAGAACATATCACATGATAGATATTCTCAAAACATTTCCCGATCTGTCCATCAGAAAAGCAAAGCCCTCAACCCATGCACATAAACACACACCCACACCCTGATGCTCAAGCTGTTTTATGTCTCTGCACTTACTGTCTCACATGGTTTCTCTGCATCTCTCAGGTCAGTAGCAGAAACAGGAAACCTGATCCGGAGGGCAGGAGAATTACCTGAGTAATAGTGTGGACTTGAATCACTGTCCCCAGGAGCCTAGTAACCCTCAGCTTGTGGATTAGTCTGTTGAACTACTTGATGGCTTGTGACCCCTAGTTCCCCCTGGATGTGTATGTTCTGATTTTGTTCTTATTGCTAGTGGCAGCTCTGTGCTTTATTTTAAAGGGAAGGAGGAGGAGGACCTAAAGACAACCTACCAGCTGGAAGTCACACATACAGAGGAATATGCGGGCCCACTCAATCCTGCCATCATTTTTGCTGCAGCATTGCTTTGGGGTTACCATCTGGGAATGTTCTCCCAGTTTTATGGGGGGAATATGCACATTAACTTTTATAAAATGTAGCCTGCCTATCTCTTGGAATTTCCAGAGGGGACTTGGCTGAGAGGAAAAGTATCTCTGCCACCTCCTCCCCAACAGGAAGAATCTCTGACTGTGCTCTTGCAGTATTTCAGAAAAAAATTCTGTACAGCATGAGTGCCATGTTCCAAGCAAGTGAGGCTGGGGCCAGAAGAGACAAGAGGAGGGTGAAAGGACACATTCCTCCTCAGAGTATTAATTGTTTACAAGGCATAAGAATCTCCGTGGGCAATGACAGTTAGCATGGGCCACCTGAAGAGACAGTAGCCATCAGATAAGTATTGATTAGTCAGACAGAAAGCGAGTGCGTTTCACTCTTGATCTAGAGGGCCAAGCTCTGCACCCAGGGCATGGCCTCATAGGGCAGTTCACTTCTGCTGTGGCCTCCTGCATAGGTCAAGGACCCCACAGCGACTTTTCCCTGATCTCAGGAAATTCTAACAAGACCAGGTGTGGCGACTTTCCCCTTGTCCCAGGATCAAGTGAAATGCTTCTCTTCCTCCTTCAGAATGCTGCAGGTTTCTGCATTGTTTGTTATCCAAGGGATTGAAATCTACATTGGGTAACTTGCCTTGGCTGCTGGGGCTGGGCAAGGCACCTAATCCTCCGTATCCCCCGTATCCCTTCTCCTATACACAATTTCAATCCTCTGTTAGGCTCAGCAGTGATGCCATGTGCAGGAAGGGCCCTTGGTGTTACCATGATTCCATCACCCTCCTGCATGGTATCCACCCAAACCACCGTTTACTGCTGGTTGGCATCAGAGAATGCTTTGGGCACAGAAGGCAGCTTATCTTTTTATACCTCCTCTCCACTGGGCAGGAGGTTGGGTGCTTCATACTTATCCTCACAACTCTGTAAGTAGGTCATTAATATCCACTTTTGAGAACAGGGAAACTGAGGCTCAGAAATCCTAACTAGCCCCAACTCAGTGATCTCTCCAGCTACCCCTGCCTCATAGCTCTGTGCTCAAGACTTGGAACTTGGTTAGAGTCCAGGACTGAGGCAGCCGAGATGAGCTGCTGCAGATACACTAGTGTCCCGGAGCGGTGTGGGGCTCAGCCGGTCAGGCTGGAGAACAGTCTCAGATGTGCCGTCTGCAGCTCCCTTCACAGCCTTAGTGCTATCACGTTATTCTCATGGTCTTTCTTTAGCATCACTGTCTAGACAACAATTCCCAAGATCACTGTTAGTTTTATGGGTTCTTCTTCCCTGAAAAGGCAGGTGGCCTCTGCCTTCTGGGCTGTCTGTCCTTCAGAGGAGGCAGATCTAAAAATGATAGTATTTAATCTTGGATCCCAAAGTGCAGCCAGAAGTAAACATTAGAAGTGCCCCATAAACACAAGGCAAGTCTGACAGGCATCCTTGAGGTTGAGCTTTCCAGAGTCCTGCCCAGAGCCCTGGGACATGGTGGCTGTGAATCCTGATGCCTTTGGTCTCCTTCTCATATCTCTGCTGGAGGAAACTTGTGCTTTGGCATTAAACTGGCTTGCAGTCTATCCTTGCCATCAACCCTTCCTAGATTTGCAATCTCCTGTCAGATGCCACGTTGTAAAAATCAACATATAGTCTGTCTCTCCATTGTTGTGGGGACATAATGGGATCATGACACCCAGCCCACGTTAGGCTCTGACTAGATGTTGTCGTCATTGTCATTGCTACTGAATCCATAGATGTATATCGCCTATCTATGGAGTTTTCTGGGTTACTATGCTGGGGTGAGGTGGGGGTCTACATCCAGAGTTCTCCAGGATACTAAACCAGGGGCATCTGGGCCTATCACTGGTGTGAGTTTTGCCTGCTCTTGTATTTTCTAGAAATGAATTGTCTTAATTTTTGATGCAGACTTTGTAGAACCATTTCACAACTCAAATGGCAGCTTTTGAGATTAAAACACCAAACTTTATTATAATTGCTTTCTGAGAAAAAAAAACAATTATAATAAAGTCAAAGCAAAAAACAACAAACAACTATAAACCAAAGACATTCTTTGGCGGTGGAGAGGGGAATATAGGCTCAAAACTGGGTGGGAAGAGCACTAGGTACTATGGTGATGGCACATGAGTGAAGTGATGGTGGGAAGTCCACGGGGATTACAACTGAGATGAAAACAATGTACAAAATGAAGAATGATGTAAATATATATATGTGTAAAATTAAAAATAAATAAATAAAAAACAAACCCTAAAAACCCTAAAAAAAAAAAAAAAAGCCAGGCTTTGTTCTGGTGTTCTCCTATCGCTCTAGTTTCTTAGGCCACAGACTGAGGGGAGAAGACTTAGGCTAAGGACCCTTTGGATTAGAACAGCACATCCCCCAGCCTGCAGGTTTAACAGAGTCCAGCCACAGAGCCTCCCCAAACTTGGCAGTAAAAGCCCCGTTCTTCCACTCATTCGATGATTTATATTCTCTCTGGGCGTCTAATATTAAACAGGGGAATTCTGACATGTTCCATAACACATTTACTGTAACTTGATACCATGAACTAAACTTGCTGTTATTTATCATTTCTTTTTATTTTCTCTCATTCCAGCACAAAGCCAAGGTAGAAGCAATGACCCTGGACCTCGCTCTGCTTCGTAGCGTGCAGCATTTCGCTGAAGCATTCAAGGCCAAGAATGTGTGAGTGTTCCAGTGGCGGGTCATAGATCATAATAGCTTGCTATTGTAATGTCTTTATCAGATGAACACAACTGGGGAAATGCGGGGCTGCAGTGTCGTCCTGGCTTCCAAACAGGGTCTCATTTATATTGGCCTGTTAGGCTGTGCTGTCCTTTCTCCATTCCAAGTCACCCTAATTAAAAAGATGTGTTATCCATCTAATAAGGGCTCCCCAGTTAAAAAAGAAAAGATAGAAATAAAACACTCCTAAAAGTGCCAGGGAATAAAAACCAGCCCCCATGTAAGTTAGAGATCCAGGTTAGAGATACTTTGCAGCCCACCTTAGAATTGAGAAAAACTGTAATTTCCTTGTATTCAGGAACAAGAGCCCTCATTACCCAGTACTGCAAAGGGGCCAAGACCGGGTGTGAGGAGAGTCTGCTATTCATGCAGGCCTGTTGCAAAAACACTGATGTATGTGATGCACTTTATACTCGGACGATGTGATGTGGTGTAGAAAGGTGGCTCCAGACAAACAGACATGAGATGTCATGAGATGTTTGCTCCTCTGCACCATCCTTTCTTGATCTTTCAAGACGCCTGAAGGAGTAAGCCTTATCCCAGGGCCAACATGTTTTCTGTCATCACTCACTGAGCTTTCCTTTGAGCAGGCCACAGACCAGCGCTGGGGAACGCAAGGGCTTGCTCCGTCTTTCTAGTCTTTCCTTCCCAAATATTTATTTATACGGTTGCCTCATATTTAGGGCAAGTTAGTACTGGCTTCTGGTTTAACATCGCGGTTTCAGTTTCATTAAAAAATAGCTTCCCTAAATTATTTTTTTCAGTGAATTGAATTAAACATGAGGATTAAGTTAATAATAGTCAGGTGGTGCCAAGGATAAGATAGTTCCAGAAGTGGCACCAGAGTGACGGGATTTGTGGAAGGCTGATAAAAGACAAGCTCCTTTCGGGTAAGCTCTGCTAGGAGCCTGGGTTTGGTAGTTCTCCAAGCAGGTGATGGATGTCCCGGGAGGCATCTGGACCACAGATTTGAATGATCCGATGTAGGTCTGACTGTGCCATGCCATCCAATTCCACTCCCTCTTGAGGCTCCCTTCATGTCTCCTGCTGCTCTTTTAGACAATTCATCCGTTCTCCAAAGCTGTTTCTTCATCTTGGAAACACAGTGGCAGTTGCCCCATTTCTTTAGGTGCAGGGTCCTCCTGTGTATGCTCAGCTCTCTCTCAGACCCTCAAGTCAGGATACAGCAATACCTTCTCCATCATTGTCATTTATACCTTTGTCATTGATTGTTTATTTACTTAACACACGTATCCTGAATGAGTCCTGAGTCCCAGGCGCTCTTCAAGGCTCTGGAAGAGAGTGGCTTCTGTGGAAGCCCTGTTAACCTCAGGCAAGCCATGATCCCAGTTGTTAGCAAGCAATTGTATTGGTAATGATTAGCTCTTAACCTGAAGTTTTTGTGGCTGTTTGGGAGGGAATAATAATAATAAAACAACAATAGCAGCAGAAGTTACCCATCTAACTTATTATTATCCATACACTAGGAATTTGCATGCATGTTGTGATTTAATCTCTTAAGTAACTGGTTGGGGTAGATGCTAGAATGAGTTCTGTCCTACAGAGGAGGGAAGTGAGAGGAGAGAGGATACATTATCCGGAGTGTCGAATGGGAAGCAGAGAGGCTGCGATCAAGTGTGTTGAGTCACCCCAGAGCCCTTTCTCTTTCTGCCCTGGTCTTTCATTTTCAGTGTGATGGAGACTGAGATCAGAGACAGTGGGCAACTGTCATAGGGTCCCTGGACAGGCTGGTGGCCGGCTGATGCAGGATTTTCATCCAGGTTCTGACTCTGCGCTGGCCGGAGCTCAGAAGTGCTGCCTCTTAAGGCTCCTTCCAATCCTGGAGGCAGAATGCTTGGAAGCAAGCAGCTTTTCCTAAGAGAGCCAACTGTTACATAATAGAACTAGCTTCCAAGTCTTAACGGGACCATTAGTTTTTAACCATTAAGTCATTCAGAAATCATCAAATTCAAGTGCCTTTTGTAATCACCAAGCCAAGCCTAAACTCTTGGAGAAAGCCATCACCCATTTTGCCTTAATCCTTGATTTTAGCAAACAACTTGGAGCTTTTGTACTTCGAGGTTCAGAAACAAGGGCGATTTTCCTTTTAGCAAGCCCTGTACCACAAACTCTTTTTTATATGTCTCTGGAGAGTACAGTCTTTTACATGGCTTAGAGAAATATTGTGGTGGCGAAAATATGCATAAAAAAGTGAGCAATTTTGCTTTTGAAATGCTGCCAGAGCGAATTCTCCCCTGGATAGGCAGATGACAGTTCAGTACTTACAGGTCTTTAGATTCAGAGGACTGTCAGAAGTGAATGTAAGTGCCAGTGAGTAGGCTGCCAGAAAAACACGTGTAGCTATTCTTATCACCTCCCATCTTCAGACATTAAAGTTTCCTTGTGTGTAAAACATAATGACAAACGAAAGGAAGGCTGCCAGTTTGGAACCAATCTCTTTTTCTGCTGTTGGACCAAGTAGCGGAAAAACCTTAAAATGTAAATCCCTCATGGATGCCCCCCTTTCACATTCCCTTGTAAAGCCTGTCTAAGAGCATTCCAGAAATATCATCAGGCTGCTTCTCCCTATGTGCATTCCCTGGGTTCATGCTCTAGCTCTAGTGTGGCTCTTCATGCTGGTTCAGGCAGCAAGCTGTGTCACTGGAGACAGAAAAGGCTAGAAACAGATGCAAGGTGCATGCGTGGGTGGGAGATGCCTCTTGAAGCTTCCCTCCCTCTGCCTTCAACAGGAGGAGGTGTGAATTCAGCCTCTTCTGGGATATCCTTTCTTTGGGGGTGCTTATGGGGAAGGAGGGCGTCATCTCGATTTCGCAAATTAAAGATCTTTTACAGAGACTCTGAATCACTTCCCTACAATTCCCTAAGTGGTGATCCCAAGTCTGTATCCAGAGCAGCTGTCCCTTGAATGACATCTTATTCTTCAGCCCTATTTTTCAGAATATGGAATTGTGTGTTGGTTTGCATTGCTGAGTAACAAGTTACTCTGCTTTAGTGAATTTAAGTTATTTAAAACAGAAGTTCTTCTGTGTTTCTCTGTTTAAGTAGAGATGCAAGTAAAGCCAATGAAGTTTAACCTGTAGTTTTCCCCTCAGTTTTTAAAATTTTACATGATTTTTAAATATCTTTTTTATTCACTACAGGGATTTCTGAATATCACCTCCTCGCCCCCTCTCCCCCACTTATCCTTTGACCCTTTCCTTTTTAAAAGGAAACTTTAACGCACCCTACTTATTAAACGAGGTTATTATCTCTGGCCTAGACTTCCCCTAGGCTGGCCTCCTGTTCTCTGTAGTTCAGTGACAGCATCACTGTGGTGTCATTTAACCTGTTCTTTTGTCTCCTAAGTTTCCTGTGAAAAGAGGCTTGATCAAATTCCAGTTTAATTTGTTGGCAAGAACACTTTGTATTGGCGAAGTGGCCTTCCAATAACAGGACACAAAGTCTGGTTGCCAAAGCCACTTTGAAGGCTCAGCACCAGCACACCCTGACCATCTCCTTGCTCTGCCTACCCCTTGGTTTCCAATCATGCATTCTGTTAGTCTCCACTCACTCTTCTGGGTGGTCAGCCCAGGAAAACTCAGCCTGCTTCCAGACACTTCTCCCAGTTAATGGTGGTGGTGGTCAGCCAGTGTGTCTCAGGTCGAATTATTTTGGGCATTACTGGAAAGTTCCAAACCAAAAGCTGTGGTAAGTCCCAACCAAACGAAGTTTTGAAGGCTATTTTTGTTGAAACTGCAATCCTGTAATACAGCCAGCCTCCCCGCCTCTGGCAGGCACAGGCATCTATCAGAGAAGGAGAAGCTGGGACCCTTACTAATGGTTTAGGCCAAATACTAAGATTTTCTGTGAAGGGCTCTGAAACAATCGTGTGTTGTTTTTGGTGCTTTTGCTTGTTTTCAGCCCTGGTTATATCTGCTGGTCATATGGAAGTGAGCACAGTTTGAAGAGCTCTGGAAAAGTTTAACAGCTCCTGGAGCTCAGAGCACTCTCTCTCTATTTTTGTTTCTTTTTCAGAAAAAGTTTGATAGCTGCAGTTCCACATTATGAACAGATACCTGGATTCCATTCCAATTCTGAAATTTTAATAATGTCTGATGGCCGTACTAAAGAACTTTGCTGCTTGGTTCCTAGTGAACAATCGGCTCTTTAAATATTGACAGAGTTTTGATTTATTCTTGAAATGACTTGACATTGATCGTATATCCAGATTCAAATAATATAAGCAGTTCTAAAGAGTTTTAGAGCTCCAGTTTTGATCATGAATATTTACTGTCTTTTGTAAATTTTCTGTTTCCAGTATAATTTAAATAAATTAAGCTTTTCCACTTAGAAAATATTACAGAAAAACCATTTTTAAAGAGGGTTGAAAGGACAGTTTTCTATTCTTTCTTTACTTTAAAAACATTTAATGGGGAGAGTCTTTAACAAAGCTATCCATTTTCACTTTTTACTTAATTTCTTTCAGAACTTGAATTGATTAATCCCAGATATAATATTCTTGGAGTGAATGTTATATCTGGGATTTTGCTGTCTCTAACCCTCCTATGGAAGTGGGTGGGCTATGAATTATAAACAAATTCCAAATTTTGAGGGATAAATTACCCTGAAGATAGATGTGTAAATTACATCTTGCTCGTTCTTTTTCTCCCTCCCTGGCTCCATTTTAAGAATAATGTTTTAGCCAACTTATCTGTATTACTCTTTGCTCAACATGAGAAATCCATTTCAGGTTTGCCTAACGGAGGATCATGTTGCTTTGCTTTTCCATACAATATGAAAACTAAAAGAAAAACAGACAGATTTTCACTGTAGAGATCTCTTTAACTCTTTAATTTAAATCTTAATTATAGCTTTTGAAGGAGGAATTTTGAAAGCCTACAAGTCAGTGTTCTCCCATCCCATTCCCCATTCATTTTCCA